TATATATATATTATTGATTACAGAGAGGAAGGGAGAGGGAGAGAGATAGAAACATCAATGATGAGAGAGAATCATCAATCGGTTGCCTCCTGCATGCCCCCTACTGGAGATAGAAACCCAGGCATGTGCCCTTGACCGGAATTGAACATGGCACCCTTCAGTCCACAGGCTGACGCTCTATCCACTGAGCCAAACCGGCCAGGGCCCCACAATCAATTTTAAAAGCGTTTTCATCACCCCCCGCCAAAAGAAAAACCTGGTATCCACTGATGTTCACTCCCCATATTCCCCATTGTCCCCCAACCCCTGGCACCCCTAATCTACTTTGTCTCTATGTATGAATGGGCTCGTACAATGTGCCTTGTGACTAGCTTCATTTACTTTTCAAGGTTCATTCATGTGGTGGCATGTCTCATTATTTCATTCCTTTTTATTGCCAAATAATATACACCCCACATTTTTAAAAATCCATTCATTAGTTAATAGACATTTGGGTTGTTTCCTCTTTGGGGCTAATATGAATAATGCTGCTGTGAACATTCATGTACAAGTTTTTATAGGGGAGATTCCATATTATTCGAGTGCAATGTTTTCGAAAATCAAAATTATTGCGAAAAATCCAGATTGAACAAAATATCAAGTTTTTAAATAAAGGCAGGATTTGAGAGGGCTGGGATTAGGGAGAGGTGAATGAGGTGAGTCATACAAAAGCAAAATCAGGTTCTGTCTAGACCTGCACATTCCAGTGAATTTGTCACATGGCTACGGAGCACTCAAAATGTGGCTCGTCCAAATTGAGAGATGTTGTAAGTATACATTTTTTTGAAAGAATGTGAAATCTCTCATTGATACTTTTTATCTTGATTGCATGTTGCAATGAGGCTATTTTGGATACAGTGGGGGTAAGTCAAATATTAATATTTGTTTTACCTCTTACTTTCTACTTTTTTTTTTAAATGCATTTATTTGAGCAAAAAGGAGCTGGAGCTTGGGAAACAGATTTGGGTAGCAACCTAAATTGTGTTTCCTACTTCTCACTTTTTAAAAAAATATAGTTTTGATTTCAGAGAGGAAGGGAGAGGGAGAGAGAGAGAAATATCAATGATGAGAGACAATCATTGATCGGCTCCCTCCTGCACGCCCCCTACTTGGGGTCCAGCCCACAACCCGGGCATGTGCCCCTGACTGGAATCAAACTCGGGACCCTTAGTCCACAGGCCAACGCTCTATCCACTGAGCCAAACCAGCTAGGGCTCTACTTTTCACTTTTAAAAATTTATTATTATTGATTTGAGAGAGAGAGAGAAACATCGATTTATTGTTCCACTTATTTATGATTCATTGGTTGCTGCTTGTATGTGCCCTGACTGGAGATAGAACCCACAACCGGGCACATCAGGATGGCACTCTAACCCAGTGATCGGCAAACTCATTAGTCAACAGAGCCAAGTATCAACAGTACAACGATTGAAATTTCTTTTGAGAGCCAAATTTTTTAAACTTACACTATATAGGTAGGTACATTGTTATTAACTTAATTAGGGTACTCCTAAGGCTTAGGAAGAGCCACACTCAAGGGGCCAAAGAGCCGCCTGTGGCTCGCGAGCCGCAGTTTGCCGACCACGGCTCTAACCAATTGAGCTACCTGGCCAGGGCCATCTATCTTTTACTTTTTAAAATGTGGCTACTGCCCTGACTGGTTTGGCTCAGTGGATAGAGCGTC